TCATCATATAATGAATTTTTTAGGAGACATTGAGAATTGGTCAGGCTTTCATTCGACATATTGGAAAGCTTTCAACGAGATTTCTGGAAAAAGTTATAGAAGGTTGAATTTCGTGTTTTAACATGGGAAGAGATGGCAAATGAATTAGTGGAGTGAGTCCATATGCGAGACAAAATCGGCAATATAAGCAGGAGACACTGAAGTCAATTCAGTCGTGGAGCATTGTCAAGTTTGTAACTTGCCGTTTGAGTTCACTCGATATAGAAATGTCGAATAAATGAATTGGCCCTAAACAAACGTTAGTAAAACGAAGAATGACTGAATGACTAACAGTCAATAAACGAATTAGAAACGTTAGTAAAACGAATCCACGAATCGTCTGCTACTAATGGTCGCATTCTAGAATGTTCACGGTCTATTTTTAGACGAGATTTCGATATGTTACATCACGTGACCTGTGAAACGGATAAAAGATAGAATTTTCTGGAAAATGATTCATTGTGCGTGAGGAAACAGAGAACAATGGAACAGCTTTATTCGTTAACTATAGGTAAGAGATCACGAAGTAAACTCTTTAGAACAGAAAATGTTTATGTGACCGTGGATTTTCATCAAGGCTGGTCAAGAATTTCACCCCAAGATGTACCAAGACAGTTATTTTTCACTTTTGAGAAATTGATTAGAGAGATTGCAGAGCAGGTAGAATGTAGTCCAACGGATTACTTACGTTTTTCTCTTCATCACCCAGGCTTGAAAACCCCAGCTTTCATCCCCTTTCAACAATACGCAAACGTTTCGGCTCTTCAGCTGTTAAACAAAGTCGCCACGATTCTTCAATCCAACGATCAGTTTCGGCTTGATGAACGAATGAGTTTAGAGGTATGCCATGTTAATCCACCCGATGGTGTGGGTTCCGGGGGAGATCAAGTTTGTAAACGCAACGTGGGTGATTTTGGCGAATATTTGAAGAGGAAAAAATGCCTGGTCACCATCAAGAACCAAGACGGCTTATGCTTTCAGCGCGCCATCGTCGTGGCCAAGCATTATGCCATCAAAGTACACACGAAAGAGTGGGAAGCTACACGCGAAAAACTAAGGAAAACGGGACCCAACAGTTTCCAAACGAGAAGGGCACATCGTTTAATTGAAAAAGTAGGCGGATCGATGGATAGCTGTCGAGGACGGGCAGATTGGGAATTATACGGCAAAGTTTTAGGCAAAGAAGGATACCAACTGAATGTATATTCTCGACAACTTTTTGGCAAAGCGGCTTATAGATCCAACAAGTACGTGGAAGGAACGCCGAAACATCTCAATTTGTACCATCACGACACACACTATGACGTCATCGCAAAAATGGCTGCTTTCGTAGAGCGTTCTTATTTCTGCGAGACTTGCCAAGTAGGATACAACCACCCCAGTGACCACAAGTGTCACGTGATGTGTCAAAAATGCCGTCAGCCTGGACCTGTATGTACCGGTGATCTTAAGAGGGTGTGTTCCGATTGTCATCGCCTGTTTAACAGTCAGTCCTGTTTCGACCGTCACAAAGCCCCTCGTACGACAGTTTCTGTGTGTGAACGATGGCAGCGGTGTTTGAAATGCGGAAAAGAGTGGGACACCATCAAAATGCACAGAACATTGGACCAGCACGTCTGCGGAGAATACCATTGCAAAGTTTGTGGTGTTTTTCACACCAAGGCCGATCGGTGGTGTTCTATTCAGAAAGCGAAATGTCCGATCGATGTCAATGGAAACAAAGAAGATCAAATAGCAGCACTGCAACGGAAAGATCTGACGCGTTTTGTCTTTTTCGACTTTGAATGTCAGCAGGATTCGGGAGATCACATACCCAACTTGTGTGTTTTGCAGCTCTGTTGTCATTTCTGCATTCAAAGCAAAGATCCCTGTCCATACTGCGATTCGTATTGGAACCAAGAAAAAGAAATGGTAATGAAGGGACCCGATACGCTAGACCAAGTGGGTCGTTGGTTTATTCGTCTGGCTGGTCGTCGAATGGTTGAGGGAGGAACCGCAAACCGCAACGTCAAGAAATCATCCCAAGTGATCTGTGTAGCCCATAATTTCAAGGGTTACGATGGTATATTGATGATGCAGACCGTTCACAAACACGCCATTGCTGCTCCCGAAGTGATTATGACCGGTGGTAAAGTAATGACTTTATCCATTGGATGCCTCAAGTTTGTGGATTCTTTAAACTTTTTACCGATGCCTCTTCGGAACATGCCGGCAACATTTGGCCTCACGGAAATGAAGAAGGGTTATTTTCCGCATTTTTTCAATAAACCCGAAAACGCCAGCTACGTTGGACCCTATCCGCCTCAAGAAACCTGCGACCCTGATGGGATGAACGCCAAGGAGAGGGAAAAGTTTTTAAAATGGTACCACGAACGCAAACAGGACACGTTTGATTTTAGCAGAGAAATTCTAGCCTATTGCCAGAGCGACGTCGATATTTTGAGAAGAAGCTGTGGAGAGTTTCGTCGCATCTTCCTTAACGACACCGGAATCGATCCATTAGCCTCGAGCATGACGTTGGCAGCGGCGTGTAATCGAGTGTACCGAACGCATTATTTGCCCCTGGACACTATTTCCATCATTCCTAGAGCATTGATGCAGAATTCCGGAATGGGTACAGATTGGCGGCGATTCCAACCCCGACAGCAGTCCAACAAAGCATTGAGATGGTTAGAATGGGAACAACATACTCGATTTTTAGCCTCATTACGGAACGGAACGACCAAACCCAACATCAGGCACGCAGGCAATGGAGGAGAAATAAAAGTTGGACCGTACAGTTTGGATGGTTATGATCGGGACAACAACGTCGCCTACGAATTTTTTGGTTGTGCCTTCCACGGTTGTCCCACGTGCTATCCTGGACCCGTTCAAGACGTCAAACATTTCCACCCTTACGACCCCTCACGAACCATGAGAAAATTGTACGCTCAAACCATGCAACGACTCGATGATTTGAAACCAAGCTCGGT